CCGCCAGCAGCCGACCGGGCGCCGCGAACGTTCCAAAGTGTATCGGCGTTCCAGAGAGATGTCCCGGCGTTCCGAGGGGCGCTCCGGCCACCAGCCCGACAGGGGCCCCGGCAGCCGCCGCGTTCCCCGGGCCGAGCGCGCCACGCGCGGATCCTCAGCGCACAGTCTGCAACATTGATCTGACGCAAGCGAGAGAGGCAGGGAGAGGGGGGAGCGCCGAAGCCTGCTCCCCGGCGGGGTCTGCTCGCAGTGCGGTAGAGTAGCAGGAGCAGAGGAGGAAGGCATTTGCTGACACTCCACTGGGGGAGGCAGGCCTACACGCTGGCGACTCTGACATACAAAAGCCCCTTTCCACTGCCCGGGGGTGGTGGGGTGAGGGCCGTCTCTGCGGGACTGCATGACTGCTAACATGGCTGGCGTAAGCCCGTGCGGGAAACGCTACAGACAGACCCAGCAAGCACCGAGTTTGCACCAAGGGAGCTGTGGTCTGTTACGCAGCCACCATCCTCACAGCACTGCGCGGGAATAAAAGGTGGTGAAGGTGCTGCCCCGCGGCGGCGGGTGAGGTTCACCGGGGGGACTAGTTGCGGCCCACGGTGGCAGGCTGAGCTACAGAGTTTTGGCACTGCACAAGTGTGGTAGTTACTCCAAACACTGTCCTGGGCTGCGGGAGCGAGGATACACCGAGGCTGTGGGGTGCACCTAGTCCAACAGTAGATATTTTACATGTCAAAAAAACCCCAAACTGCACTTGATACACGAGCACTGTGTGTGCGTGAGAGATTGCTAAGGGCCGCACGTTGTGGGAGAGGAGACCTACCTCACTTATTTTTAGGTGAAATGCGGTTGTTTGCAATTCAGCACCTCCACTCGTGTGTGACTCATCAACTGGAGGCTTGATGTAAAATCCACCTCTTGCGGGAGTGCACACTGCATACGTAGGTGGAGGGGGAGGGTCGTGCTTCCCATGCACTCCTTGTTCTAAGAGATGATGACTGTGTGGCATATGGCTTTAGAGGACAAAGCCTACATCTGGCGGGGGTTAGACTGGATGACCTTTGCAGTCCCTTTCTAACCTTATCGTCCTGTTGGTTTTGTGACTCTGTCTGCTGGAATTGCAAGTATGTGTATAAAGAAAGGGTGTTGGGCACCCTGGTATATTTTAAACTTTTAAAATTAATCTCAAATCATGTTACACAAGTCTTCTATAATTAGCAATCACACTATATATTCTAACTTTAGGTGGACACATAACATAATCACTTCAAAAACTTCTTTGGCAGATTTTAAGAGAATGCAAAAGCCCTCTGAATTTTACAGGGTTTTTTTGTGGTTCACATCAGGGATGTGACTGTTTTGCAAACACTAAAGCATATACATAATTTTGACACTTAATACCTTCATTAAAGTTATGCACATGTTGCCTAAGAATTTGCAGAACAAGGGCAAAAACAAATGTAATTATCCAATGGTTCTTCCTTTGCTGAGGTGAAAGCTGGAGGACTGCTTGTTCTGTCCAACCAGCGAACATACAGTTGACTCTGACATTACTGAATCTGCATGAAAGAAGACTGCCTAATTAAATTACCTATATTTTATTTGATTGAATCTTGTTTACACAGCATCCTTTCAGAGCATATCTCCTCTCATTACAATGTGATCAAAGGATTCTAAAGGAACATAATTCTTAAGTATCCCCTGGCCTATTGACTGTTGTTATCCTGGAATAGGGACATTAAATTTCATTTAATCATCTAATCATCTAAGTTGATGGATTTTGCATTGATTAGTCCAGGCCTACTCAACACACGGCCCACTTTTTTGCAGCCCACATTGTGATTTGCGTTTACACGGGGCTCAACATGCGGCCAGCAGGTGGGTGCCAAAACAAAAAAGTAGTCATTAGACTGGTCTTTTGTTGATATGTGTTTTAGTAGTTAAATTCCTGCACTGTCATTGCTCATTATAAGTGCTGTCATAGGGGTGGAAATTGGGTAAATATTGCATTGTATTAATATCAGTAGAACTAACTTAAATGGGGCCTGCATGTTATGTAGTCTTACCTTAATCTTTGTATTCATGCGGTCAGAGTGAAAGAAGCTATTTGCATATATTTGCATATATATTTGCATGTACATGCAACCACACTTAAGTTGCAGCCCTTGGCATGTGCTGTGAATATCAATGTGGCACCCGGGGCTTCCAAAGTTGAGTAGCCCTGGACTAGTTGATTAGTTGATAAGTAGGAGAGCTGCAGTGGGGTTTGCTCCTGGCTTTTTAAATGTATTAAGAGCCCCACTACCCCCTGCCTTCCCTGCCCTGCCCTTAGCATGTACATGCAACCACACTTAAGTTGCAGCCCTTGGCATGTGCTGTGAATATCAATGTGGCACCCGGGGCTTCCAAAGTTGAGTAGCCCTGGACTAGTTGATTAGTTGATAAGTAGGAGAGCTGCAGTGGGGTTTGCTCCTGGCTTTTTAAATGTATTAAGAGCCCCACTACCCCCTGCCTTCCCTGCCCTGCCCTTACCCCC